CAGCAAAACGGATGAGGAGATTTCTGCAGTTACCCAACAACTACATGTAGTGCAGCAGCAAGTCCAGTACACTGTTCTCTTTTCTCAGCTTGATACCTGCTGCCACAGTGGAGAGCGTGACACAACACCTACAAGACCAGTGGAAGAATGGTGATGCACGCCGTACTGTATTGCTTGCGTGGAGACAGTCACTCACCGACCAAATGGCCGCAATAAAACAGAACAAAAAGTGTGAGGGGCCATGTTGAGCAAGCATCGAGCCAGTTTTCCAGCGCAATGGAATCGATAGGCAAGCATACCATGGAGGTGCTTTTGTGGGCAACCATGTGCACATAGCTCTTCAGCCAGCAGTGACAACTGAAATAACGCCAGCACATTTATCTGCAGTAGCTTCTCGTGCGCCGCTGCTGCTCTGCTGCTCCCAGAGGCAAATCGAATTCATGAGGATTACCAGCACCTGATGTCCCTGTATGGCGAGTGCACTGCCCTCTTCAGCCACTGCAGGCCTGTGGACGAGGCCACCATATCCAAGCTAGAAGGCTTGGTGGAGACATTTATGACTGCATGCCGAGATATCGTCGTCAGCAAAAAGCTCGGCCACATCACGCCGAAATTGCACATGTTGGAGGTGCATGTCGTGCCGTCCATCCGACGGCGAGGCGTTGGTCTTGGTCTCCTCGCAGAGCAAGGGAGTGAGAGCATTCACGCCCGCTTCAACGAGCTAAGGAGACACCACGAGGCCATCCGCAATCAATTGGAGCGCCTCAAGTCTGTTGCACAGACGCATTTGATTGCAACTCTCCCACAACACGAGTCGCTCCGTCCAGTCAGCAGGAAGAGGAAATCCTCACAGTAAAGTTAGTGTATCTCTGCATCTTGTTTGCTGGCCTATCTGAAATTCTCGGCCTTCCATCGAGCTCTTTTAGCTTTCTCTCCTCTCAAAATAATTCAGATTGTTTCCTTTGTTCTCATCTCAATCTCTTTCCTCACAATATTTTCGAGGCGATCGAGGACGCGTCTGACGCGCGTGTCAGCAAGTACAAAAATTCGGTTCGTCATGGTTTTGATGTGAAAATGTAATAATTCGCTTCGTATTATAAAATACCGTTGGGATTTGTCAAAAACGGCGCAAAAGCCGCCATATTGTTAGATGGCCAAGTGGGAACAGCCGTGGCTAGTTTCTATTTTTTGGTGGTGCTTGAACTAGTTCGAACTGCTTCCCTTCGACTTTCTTTGACAGAGCGGGTGCTAGTTAGGGTTTCCTGTGGTCAGTTTGTATCCACCACCGGTCTTGTATGTCAGTGCTTGTACAAGGAGGTGTTCAGTAGTTATTTTCAGTCCGCACCATGGATCGCATCCAGGGTAGGAAATCGCACTCTGACCGGCTTGATTATCCCGAGTCGAGAAAGAAGCGAACTAGTGGCCAGTTCGGCTCAGTATCATGGCCAGCTGGACGTAGATCAGATCGCCCCGAGGTCGAACAAACCGACAGTAGTCCTGAAATCCTTACCTCGCAGAAACATTGACGATGTGGTGGAGCGCGGTGTTCAAGAACAAGGAACCATGGTAATAATTGGATTCGCTCCAGAAAAATTATTCTCGTGGTTCCCGGTTCCTTTCCCAATATTTCCTATGGTCTGGAATACGTGCATCACGCTGAAGCCTAGATGAATAAGATTGTAAGTCAGTCTTCTCTCTAGCTCAAGATTTTGCGAACATGGTATCAGTGAACAATAAAAGCAAAGGACACAGTGCAACAAATGGAAAATGCACGTCTCCTTCTTTTCCTTGCCGTGCGCACTGCACTGTCACAGTCTGCAGTTCTGACTGGTGTCTTCCGTTTGTGAAAGAACCAGCGCAAGTCGCGTGGCGCGGCGTCCTTCAAAACGACACAAGTGAGCTCCACATCAGCCGATTTTGACAATCGATGGCTCAAAATTTTCAGTAGAAGATGCTCCATACTTTCACCGAAGCGAATTTCGCCAAAACGATCCTAGAGGTGGGACACGTTTACCGAGTTTGAGGGTGTTATTTTGAAGTCTAAATTGCGGAAATCAAAAAATCCTTCGGTGAATCCCTTTGCCCACATCTGAACTCGGTGCCTGCAAAATCTCAGCCTGCTAGAGAGAACTGTGGCTCACTTGCGTGGATTTGAACAGGCCAGAGTCGACGCGAAGTACGGCAAGATTCCCTGTACACAGCATGGTGTGACACATGTCACGTGAACCAAGATGGCGCCCACGTGTTTCTGTACAAGTACTAGCCCTGACTGTACTAGCGGTAGGCTTCCCTATCAAAATAATAAATTCTACTGCTACTACTGGTGTTACCCTATGATAATTGCCGTGATCCTGTGCCCTCCCGACCTCGTGCTACTGCTGCGTTCGGGTCCCGTCATTCGCGATTTAGGTGGATCAGTTCGCATTTGGGGGGACAATGGGCCAGTTCTAATTTCTTACTTTTACGACGGGGCAGTACCAGTAAAGGTTTTTCAGAACCGCTCACAGAGCGATTTTTATATGGATAATCATTCTTATTCCGTTAGAAAAGCCTGCCAAACCAAGGGGCCCAGCTAGTCGCTCACCTACCGCCCGTGGCTTTACCGTAGGCTGACGCGCTCGGGAAGATTTTGTCATGTGCATGCTGCGGATCGGGAGGATCAACGAGGTTGTCTTTGTTGCGCACACACGAAGTGGTTTCTGCCCCAGCAGAAGCACCACAAACATCATCTGGTCTTATCGATGGCTGAGGCCGTGAGGCCCAGAGGGCCCGATGTCTCGGCTATCGCTGTGCGCTGGATATTCTTGGTATCGACTCTATTAGCAGGTCACGGTTCATCTCAGAACGTTCTTGCAGCTAACTTGTGACCAGGTGAGATTCAGATACTCAGCTACCTCCTCCGGCTGCGGGTTGTGCTCCCATCCGCCAAGGGCCCGTCATTCTCCACTCTTCGCGGCACACTCCAATGAGACTCGTTGCCTCCTGTTCTTTTCATTGTGTACCTTGAGGGTGCACTGCTTCACGATGTTCGGCCTCTCCTCCTAGTCCTGTCACGTCCCCCCTGCTGATGTCTTCCTGGGATTGCCCACTGAAACAGCCTACGCCGACGATGTGGATTTTGTGACTACTGGTGGTGAGACTGAGAGGCTGAGAAACATCCTTCCAGTCATATCCGACGAGCTTCTCGAGTGGGAGTTGATAGAAAATGAGACAAAAACAGAGTGGTGACTCACGAAGAAGCCCGGGTCCCTATTACTAGGTGAGGCCGAGGATATGTATGTTACGACGACAGCAACTAGCAACTGTTGCCTTTGGTAAACTCTGGACGCTGTGGATTGGTAGGTCGCTAATTTCGGAGGATCTCCGCTTCCGGCTTTTTAATGTCTTCGTGCGTCCTGTGTTCTGCTGCTCGCAACATGGGCACCAATGAGAAAGCAGCTGTGCCGCATAGAGGCCTTCCACCAAAAACAGCTGCGGGAGCTAGTCGGCATTGTGTTCCCCGAATGGATCCGAAACGAGAGGCTCTATGAGCGTACTGGGGCGGCTCCTGTCGGTAGAATCATCCTGAGACTCGCGAGAGCTAGGTGGAGGCTCTTTGGGCACGTCCTCCGGCTCCCGACCGACTCGCCACCACCGCTGGCCATGGGAGCGTACTTTGCAGAGCCTCGTCCAGTGGGCTGGTGGGGACGGCCACGACATACACTTCCAACGCTTCTGCATGACTATGACAAGGAAATTGGACTTTCCTTGGCGAGCAGAGCCGATCTTCAGGCATTCCGTGCCTTCGCTGCCGACCGAAGTGTCTGGGTAAGCATCTGTGCAGGCGTGGTAATCTGCACCCTACAATGTAGTTTCGTCTTGCGTCGCATTTTTTACCTTTTTTTCTTTTTCGTACCTGCTTGGACTTTTGTATTCATTTGAAGTGGCTTATGCGAACACTTTTTGACTCGGCTATGGTCCAGGACTCCATAACGCTTCTGTGTGCACATCACATATACGACTCATACTGTCAGTAGGAATGAGTCAGCTCTGTGGTGGACCAGACCATGAC